GTTGTTGTTGTTGTTGTTGTTGATGTTGTGGTTGTAGTTGTTGTTGTTGTTGATGAAGCCCCTTTGCAGGCAGGGATGCCAGGGATCATCCTTTCGATGCGTCGTCCGCTCCACTCGTGAATGGCGCTTGGTTGCCTGATGCTGGCAGCTTTCTGGTCATTGATAGCTGCCTTGGAGCTGGACTTCCATTGGAAGCTGTGCTGGCCGCAGAGTCACATCGACGCAGATTCGTGTGCGCCTCTCCCCTTTTTGATCCCACAGAGGTGGCCGATTTGAACGTTACCATGTTTTTCATTTTGCTCCTGGTAGGGGTGAGGGTTGGGTGAGCGCCATGGCTCACCCTGGAGTGGAAGATTCCTTTGCCAAACCTGGCCTCCCTGGACTTTCCACGAACCATCATGGCTCCAAGCCGATTAGTTGGGAGACATTTAAAGGTATGCACCCCCGTGATTAGCGTAGCTTCAAAAGAGCAAAGAGGCGAGCTACACGTGGTGGCTTTGCTTGGTACAAGGGCAAGCTTTTCGATAGGCAGCAGCTAGGTGGTAGTTCGCCTACCCCTGAGCCAACACCTCATAAACTACCTTCAACACCCTCCCGTACCGCTCCACGGGACTCGAGGAAGCGGCTTCATGTTCTTGCGAGGAACGGCACTGGCCTGGCTTGTTGGAAGCTGGACGAGCTACGAGGATGGCTCCAAGCTCAACTCTTCCAGGCGGTTGTCATCCTGGAAACACGCTGGCAATTTGATCGGGAGTGGGTTGAAGCAGGATGGTACCATGTGGCTTGCAGTGGAACTCCATTTCGTATTTCGTCCGTGTGGGGTTCTCATCATGGCGCGCACCACATTGTGTCCTCCCACAAACATCAGCTGGCAATCCCTGATCCGTGGTAGACTTTTACACCTCCGGATCTATCGATAGGCCTCTCGATATTGTTGGATGCTATCAGCACACCTATGTTAACAAAGTGTCACGTAAACAACTTAGACTTCAATGGATCGGATTCGTTCGCTGGACACACTTTTGCACGACGTCCCCAAACGCAATTTTTGGTTGTTCTTGGAGAATGGAATTGCGGCCTTCCACAGACCTTGCCGCACATCGGAACCGTAGATTTCGTCGGTTCTCAGGGTCGACTCACAGGGCCGCGATGAAGATTGGAAGCCGCACCTGGATCTTTTTCAGACTCGTGATCTTTGCGCCATCAACACGTGGAGAAGTGACACAGGACCAACCTGTTGCACTGCCAAGGATGACATGTCCAGGATTGATTTCATGTCGCGCAACACGCCAGGAAGCGGCTCGATCCAACTCCGTCCTTTTGACTGAGGCCAGATGGCCAAACATTCATGACACGCAGCACACTCAAGACATGCTTGCGCGGAACTTTCAATCACACTTTGCCTCCCAAAAGGTTGTTGTTCCCATGTGGCGCCATACTCATCGACTCATCGACTGATGTCTATGAAACGGAACCTCCTTGCTCGCATTCGTAAGGTAACTACTCCGACCTTGGGTAACTGTTTTCATGTCTGGAAGCTGGTGGTTGCTCATCACCAGTGTCACGTTCGACAGAAACGCTTCTCTCGGCAGGCTTCGACTGAGAGATTCGATCGAATGGTTGAAGAGGCCCACCAGCTGCTTCACGACATGATCTCTTCAGCCTCCACACCATTGTACGTAAGCCTTCACCCAAAGAGATTCTTCCAAGCATTCACTGTTGAGCCTGTTGAGGCTTTTGCACACATCTTCAGCAGTTCGTTCGAACCTCATGGGATGGACCTGATCTTCACTGTTTTTGTTACCAAAACCTGGCAAACGACCTGATACTGCAGCTAATCTCAGGCCTCTCGCTCTTCAAGATCGTATGGGAACAACCATCCTTGGTCTTATCACCACCATCGCCAGGCACAGTATCCTTCCAGTGTACATTTGAAGCCATAAGTCGAGCGGTCACACACTGCAGGGCTGTTCGTGAGACCCTGACTCGATTTCCTTGGCACATGAGGTTAGGGCACACAACACCCAGACTCCTGATGTTTATGGGGGATTTACTATTGGTATAGACCTCAAAAGAGCTTTCGACAGTGTTCCGCGCCCGGATCTCTTTTGTGATCTTCATGAACTTGGAGTTGATGAAGCTTGCACTCAACTCCTTCAGGAATGGCATGTGGGCACACGATATTGGATTGAACACAAGGGCCAGCACAACCATGTTGAGGGCGAGCTAGGAGTCAGACAAGGCTGCAGAGATGCCCCTTGAGCAGACTGGCGCAGCTGACCAATCCGGCTTGGGTACTTTGCGTTCTCACATTGTACGCTGATGATTTTTTGTTGAAATGTGAAGGACAAAGCGAACAAGACCTTTGGGATCATCTACAATTTGTGGGTGTTCTTTTTGACCTACTTGATCACGCTGGTCTGGCCATGAATTTGTCCAAGACACTTGGACTCTTCCAAAACAATGGGAGGGGATTTCGGAAACTTCAATCCAGAGTTCTTGTAAATCATGACCAACATTGGTTTTTGCTGGTTCCACGCTGGGAGGTAGAGCATCAAAAGTGAAGTGGGTCGCTGACATCAAAAACCTGGGCGTCAATGTCCTATTCCAACTTTGAAAAGCTCACCTTGGAGCATCGGCTGGCGGCTGGCAGACAGGCTAATCGATGCCTGCATCGCTGGTTGTATGGAAAAAAGGTCTGGAGAAATCACAAGAGCGCAGACTCTGGGAAAGCGTGGTGAGGACAACTTTGCCCTATGGCATCTGGGCCACAGGAACCACCACACCTGGGCTCAAGCAGCTGATCACACAGATGGTGACTATGCAAAGGATGATTTACATGAACCGCTCACACCGCACCAGAGAATCGCAAGCTCTTCTTTCACAGCAAGCAGACAGCTGAACCACCACACCTTTTTCTTCACCGCTGCTGTTTACGCCTACTGCGCGCGCATACCACCAAGCTTGAGTTGCTGCCTCAGGATGACATCCTTCAGGGATTGAATTTGCCTGGTACTCACACCTTGTTGGCTCACATTGAGCAATACATTGTTGGAGGCCCTGACACGACCGCAGCTATCACTCCTTTCGAGCGCCGCACTTGTTGGATGATATTTTTCGTGTTCACGCAGACCTTGCACGTGAGGCTTTTGAACATGGATTTAAAGATGGACGCATTCAGGCTTTCCTGGCCATCCGTGACGCCACGGAAGGCGCCCCTGTTTGTAGGCATTGCCAACACTCATTTCCTACTTGGAATGCACTTCGTAATCACATTGAATACGCTGCATGCCCTTGCTTCGCCTTGCTGCAGGTGATGCCCCTTTCCTTCGTGGAGACGAGAGCCTGCCTTGTTCCTCAGACACGTGTCAATGATCCGGATGAGCTACATTTGGATCCACCTCATGGGGGCTATATATCTCAGATGTCATTGAATTTTGTGTGGCTAACAATTGCTGCGGTTTCAGGACACGACCCATCACCTGGCGTTAGAGCGCTCGAAGTTGGCTACGGTGTCCACGGGAATGTATCAACACTGGAGTAATTCGATGCGCTCGCCGTGCAGCTTTTGCCACACTGCCTTCACAGATGCTCATCATTGCAAGGTACTCCTGCAGATGACGGTCCTTCGAGCCGAATCTCTCGCTGAATCAGGCCCAGGTGATCATGGTGGTAGAGTTGAAGGGTTGCTCAACACCAACACCCACATGGACAGGGGTTCTCCCAATGAGGATTGCATGAAGCTCCGCTGCCACAGACTTGCATCATTTGCGCTGGCAACTTCTCCTCCATGGATCTCTTGCTGGATCACATGAGGACGCATGATTCCTACCACTCCGTTCGGGATGCTGAAATGCGCCAACCCACTTGCTCTCATGGCAAGAGTAGCTTCAGAGAGACATGGGAGCCGCAGCCACACATCTGTCGCAAGTCGTGTCCGGTGTTTGACCCCACTCTCCAGCCGACAGGTTCTCCTTGTCATGACCCAAAACTACAAGATGCTCTTCGTGCAGGACGGGTCATTGAGATGTTGCATAATCTGCAACATCCTGAAGATCGACTTCGATTCACTCTCTCTTGTTGCACATGTGGATTGAGTCACAGCCGTGTTGCAGACATCACCCGACATTTGCAAACTCAACGTGGCCCCTTCTTTCGAGCAGCTGATGAATATGTCGTGTTGATTGAGGAGCAGCAACAAAATTGTGTATGCAATCCTCAGAGACCCTCTCAACCTCGTTCTCACCGATGTGTGGCATGGAGGCAGATAGCGATGATTGAGCACTTCCTCAACCCGGACCATCGTTTCTTCTTCCCTGACTTGGCTGCCTCGGAGGATGAAGTGGTTCGCTGCTCTCCCGCATTACCAGTGCCTTGGCTTCACAGTCCAGTGGGACTCATGCGGCTACTGCTGCCCAGGGTGTGCCGTGGCCGCTGAGCAGCTGACCTGCTGCTGGCTGCAGCTCCTTGGCAGCTGAACTGAGGCCCCGGTTCCTTGAAAGATTGACCTGCGCCCTCTTTCATGCATGGGCTGCGGCCCATAGGTTTTTGAGATGATAGATTTCTTGGCATGATATGCTAAATTTTGGATTGATGCTCCTCACCTCACAATTTCAATTTCAATTTGATTGAATGGCCGACTGTCGAGTTTTTGGGCCTTGCCTGTTTGACGTCGCTTGATGCACTGGAGACAAACTCCTTCCCTGCTGAAGCGGATTTCAGCTGCCCTGGCCTTAACGGCCTCCAGTGTAAAGCTACCAAAACGTACTCCAATGGAGTCCGCTGACCACAGAGTCAGTGCACGGCTGCGCAACCTCCCCTGGATGCGTGAGAAGAAGAAGAAGGGCGGATTCACTGGTGGTGGCATGATGCACCTTTTCCGAAGCATCCCATGCCGCACAATATTCGGCAAAAAGACCCTATAAAAATATATGGCACCCTCCAATATATCAGGTAAGTTTCCGTACAAGTCGTAGCATTGTTGACATTCCATAAAGGCTCCATAGCGACTACTTCCCGTTGCCGTCACCGTGCACCATCGTGTGTCTCTGTAGTGCGAGGCAACTCGACGGCGGCGGTGGAAGCCAATATCGTTGTTGTACCTGGCGATGGAAGCCAGGCACAGGTGCACTGGCGTGTCTGCTTTTTTGGATGCTGGCCCATGCAAGTAGGTACCACCAATAACACTGACTCCCAAGATCCACCAAGTAAGTAAGTATGCCACTCAGTGAGCCTGAACAAATTGCCGAGCTACATTTCGTTGTATGCATAGTAGGCACCAGCACCCATCACTGCGCCAGCCGCAACACCACCCGCTGCATACATAGCGACATTCGTCTTGCTGCCAGAAGAGAAAGCATTGGAACCCGAATATCCGTAGTCTGGGTTCGGGGCCGGTTGCAGGCCAGAAATTCTGTCGTCTTAAAAAGTCGAATTGGGAAATGGTTGAACGATGTCGAAGCAACCTGCTTCATCAAGCATCAGTCATGTGGGTTCTGTGGGTTGATGGGCAAAGAGAGTGATTTCAAGACCAGGAACACAACCGTGACACCATGCACTGTGTAAAGCAAACAGTGCATGCACCCTGTGTGTAAAACTTGCTTATTGAGCAACTATTGCATGGATTCAACATGATTCAACATTTGGACCATGAAAAAAGCTGGAACATCCATTCATCAACGCCCAGCAGAAACCTGGAGAAAAGCACCAGACCTGACACAACCAGTCACCGATGTGGCTGCTATGGCTTCTTTGTCCAAAGGAGCTTGTCTTTGATGGCATCTTGTCGCCGAAATTGCTCATCACCCTCAGCAATTGCTCGTCGTCAGCCACAGAACTAACACACTCCATCTCACCCACTACAACAATCCCGGACGCACATGTTGCATCATGTTGCGTTGTTTTTGTTTCTCTCGAGGTCTTTGTGAGACCAACAGTCAGCATATTAAGAAATTACACCGGCATAGACCCCAGATAGCAACTAACTGAAAAGACAGAAGCACCTGATGCAAAGAATCATGTATATAATATAATTCACAACAACCAGAGAAGTAGGGAGACCAGTAAGATCAGTAAGTAAGGATACAAGCCAGCAGCGGCAGACGAAATGCTGCTCACAAAGGCCGGGGTCCACTCATGTAGGGAGACCGGTTAGGCAGCGGCGAGGCCAAAACGTCGCCACCCGGTCATTGAGAAGGAAGAAGGAGCCTATAGTTTTCAGCGGAAAAAGGGGCCGATCACCCTAGAGCTGTGGCGCCGCTGTGGGCCTCTTTCTCGAGCGGCCCTCAACCCTCCCGGCACTTCACAAGAAAGCAAGGCTTTCTAGGCGCCCATGGTTAACAGACATCAACAAAGCAAGTGACACTCAAAAAGAAGAAGAATCTCGCGATGAGCGATCCGGCTATTTTTCCGTCATCTGATCATGTCAGGCAGCTTGGGCGGTCTCTGATCACCCCTTTTCTGCCTCAAAAACTTTGCATCCCACCTGCCATATCCTGCCACATCCATGGCCTCCTTTTCTCCAAATCCTTGAAATCCAGTCCCTTCACCCTGCTCCTCACACACAAACCCACCCGGAACCCGCGCACCGCACTGTCACCCGGCTTCCGCCTTTAACACCGGAAGAACCGGCGCTGTCCGTCCCCCTGCGTTCCGAGGCACGACGGTCGGTCGGAGTAGCCGTAGGCGGTCGCCGGAGCGGTGCGGCGGCGGCCCACGGTGCTGGAGGTGCTGCCCGTTGGCTCCCGGCGCCTGGAGGTGGTGTACCTGGCGGAGTGGCGGTGGTGTACCAGAAAGGCGCCACCGGAGAGTCCAGTTGTCCCTGGGAAAAGAAGCTTCTTACTATAGTACTATATATATAGTAGCCCAAACACCTGTTGGTTTACAAGGTCGTTGATCATCCTCTCACGAAAAGAACAAATCTCCACAGCATCTGCGTCAATGATCCTAAGATGTCAAAATCACATCAAATCACTGAAATGTCCGTTCCCTTCGGGAACCACCCCAGTCGGTCGCTTCCCGGTCGCTGGACGCCCAGGTCGCGTGTTCCCGTCGATGCTGGACGTGCGTCGCCGCGTGGACACCGGCGCCGGCAGCGGCGCCGGCGGCGAGCGGCGCCGGGCGGTGCGGCGCCGGGGCGACGGCACGGTGGCGCGGCGGCGCGTGGAGGTGGTGGGCGCCGAGTAGGAGCGGCGGCGAGCGGGGGTGGAGGTGGCCACCGGGGAGCGCCTCGTTTCCAGTGACCGGTCGAGCGGTTTTAGAAAGGTTTTGGAAGGTGTTGTGGTTTTCTTTAAGGTTTTACGGGTGGTTTTGATCCGGTTTCGTGAAGAGGTGCTGCATTCCTGGGCTGAAAAATGACATCACATCCTAGAAATACTGCCAATGAAAAAACAAAGCAATTGATCAGGAAACATCTCATTCATGAAGCATGTTACGGTAACTTACGTATACCGTATGCCAGCCAACCAGGAACTACCAAGTTTGGCACTCTAAAATAAAAAAGATGCGTCATGTGGTGTATAAACATTCCAACAACTCCGCATGCGAAAAAAAAAAAAAAAAGTCTTTGCTTCCAATCTCTTGCAAACACTCCCTTTGTCACAGCTAAGAGGGGCCCCTTGATGTCCCTGGCCTCCTGCTGGTGCTGCTGCTGCTGTAACTGCTGTAGCTGCTGTAGGAGCTCCTTCGCCGCGACGAATAGGACGAGGACGAGGACGAGCTCCACGATCCACTGCGCCTTCGCCCCGACAGGCGACCTCGGGTGACGGAACGGCCGGGCCCGGCCCGACCAACGAATCGCAGGCCGCCAATGATTAGCTGGACGTCAAGAAAAGCAATTATTGTTCCTAGTAGCTTCTTGTTACTACTAGTAAGGCACTTGTTTCTA